ACACGCTAAATCTACATGGGAAAATCTTTCCTCCTCGAAATTCTCAATCAAATGACTATTTCACCTGTGAAATTTATCAAACAATAAATAACCACACTTTTATTTGTATCAACAGCACAAACGGTACAGAGTACATGTGCCACACACAACCTGAAAGTGAAGTCAAAACATTTCGATCACCATCTGGTGGCTGACTGCAATATAGGTCATAAACTCCTACCTCTCCATTAGGGCTGCACGATAAATCACATGCGATATTTAACGCGCATTTTGTCAGTAAAGCCTGTTCTGGAATCAGCCGTAAATCTCCATCACGTGCGGCCTTTCACATGGAGAAGCATTTACTACACAGAGCCGTTGTTCACTGACAAGCGGAGCAAAACCACGATCATATTTTGCGCATGTTTTGCGCAGCTCGTCAGTGAACAACGGCTCTGTGTAGTTAATGCTGCTCCATGCGAAAGCCCACCCGTGATGGAGATTTACCACTGATTACAGAACGGCTTTACTGACAAGATGCGTGTTAAATATCGCATGCGATTTATCATGCAGCCCTACTCTCCATGTAAACAAATAAGATGTGAGCTAAACTAAACGATCAAATTACATTTCAAATAAAATGTTCCCAAAGATGGTTTCCATCATTTTAGGTACTTCTTATCATGCTAATGTATGTTAAAGTGTTCGTTCTTTTAATAAGTTTGCTTTTAGTTCATTATTAGTTCATTATAGTGGGGAAGTCGTGGCCTAATGGTTAGAGAGTCGGACTCATAACCCAAAGGTTGTGGGTTCGAGTCTCGTACCGGCAGGGATTGTAGGTGAGGGGAGTGAATGTACAGCACTCTCTCCCACCTTCAATACCACGACTGAGGTGCCCTTGAGCAAGGCACCGAACCCCAACTGCTCCCCGGGCGCCGCAGCATAAATGGCTGCCCACTGCTCCGGGTGTGTGTTCACGGTTTGTGTGTGTTCACTGCTGTGTGTGTGCACTTTGGATGGGTAAATGCAGAGCACTAATTCCGAGTATGGGTCACCATACTTGGCCACACGTCACGTCACTTCACTTATTTGATGCCATAAAAACAGAACGCTTGGGTCTGCGGGAGTTTGGGTGGGACTTTGATACCGCGCCTCCACCTCACAATCACTACTACACAGACTCATGACAATTTTCGCAAGATGACAGTGGCCATACTGGGATGTTTTGGCTTCACTTTTCTATAATACGCGTCGACCATCTTTTTTTTACATTCTACGGTACAGAGTGAGCAGAGTAAAATTTACAGAGTAAAAGTACGGTTCAGAGTAAAAGTTTTACTTTTAGGGTTAGTAGTTTGTTAAAATGCAGAATATAACTGAAGAGTATACAGAATAAAAGCAATGAGGGGGTGATGTATGTACCTCTGCACTGTGTGTCACAAGCCTGAAAAATAGTATCCAACAGGTCTTCCTCGCAAATCAGACTGACCTCAGCCATGCTCTCCTTCTTGGGCTCGGAGGGAAACAGAGATCCTGTTCAAAACCCAAGAAAAACAAAAACATGTAGTCAATGGTTTTAGCAAAACATTTATAATGTTAAAAAGATAACTAAAAAGAGATGATTCATTACCCTCGCCCAGTGAAAGTCTCTTAACCACGAGGGCCGGGTAGACGAGTTCATTGTCCATGTTAGAAATATCTGAGGAGAAGTTCAAGTTATACGAGAACAAGCCAGGAGCTGGGATTTTCGAGGTCTTCACCTCTGTGTCGGGCCCCTCCAGCAGGGTTTGTGTGGTGTAGCGTGGGGTAAAGTTAAAGTAATTGTCCCCAGTCTGGGCTGCTGGGGTGGAGCAGTTACGCCGAAACGGCCGGCTGTACGTTGCTGTATTTCTCCTCTCCCCTAACGTGCTCAGTGTGCTGGTAATGGTATAGGTGGCATTGCCAGGTGTAATGGGAGCACAAGGGGTGTTGGCAGCAGACCCCGGTCCCGGGGAAGCTGTGGGTGTCAACATGCTCACTGAGGAATCGCAGTCAGAGTCTTCGTCAGTTCGGACAGTACGCTTCTTCAGGATGGCCTCCAGGTTGAGGCGCAGACCCGAATGAGGGCTGTCGTAGCTGCTGGACTGGAACTTAGGGATCTGAAAGGGCGAGTTAACCTCTTGATCTCGTCGCTGGATAGTCTGCAGCTTGCGGCAGATGCTGTCCACGGGGTTGTGCCGTCTTGGGGTCACTCCGACATCCATGTTGGAGCGAGCAAAAAGAGAAAGCCTCGAACTACAGAAGAGACAAGTTAATTTGTTTAAAGTCTAAGTGCCTCATTTATAAATTATGTGTATGCACAGATTTGATCTTAAAGAGTGTGCGTACGCTTAAATCCACTTTGGTCTTTGAGTGGAAAAGTGCTTAGTGTCATGTCAGGTTCTGAGCAGACAAGTACATTTTCTTGTCGGAGTACTGCAGGTTTTTAAAAATGTATGCCGTTTTGCAGCTCTCCGTTCGAAATTAAAGGATTTGGACAATGGCTGGTGATCTTTTATACGTTAATGACATTAATTATGAGTCGTTTACAAGGCAGAGAGCTGAAACCATTCCGTGTTTCAAGTTCAAGATCATTTGCGATTCATAGATTTTCATCTGAAAGAG